GTTAAAGTACTGTTTCTAACTGACTAGTTACTTCCTCCATGTTTGTGCAGGCAAGCCAGGAAGGCTGAGCCCCTGTGTTTCCACTGAGTGAGTAATCTACTAGTGCCTCCTCTCTCACTCCTCCCATCTCAGCTTCTGGAGGGTAGGATGTTAAGCGTAATCGATACACTGTAAGTGCAATGAATATTGATGAGGCTTACACAAAATATGATTGATAACATCTCGTTACTTGATTCCAACTTGTAAGGGAAGAATATTCATCATGTAGAGGGTGTTGTTTATTACCGGAGTTTGTAACAACCTGCTGTAAGAACTCTGATAAATGGCTGAGCTACAAGATTTACAGCAACAGCATATGTTGCTGGGAGTGGACGAAGCAGGATAACTTAATTGGCATTTGATGCGAGTCCACAGGATGACACTAACCATTCCTGGAATATGTCATACCCCTGGTACCTACATCCATGCTGACCTTTCCGTGTGATATACTGATGTACAGCAGCTAGCTAGTTCTTAAGTGAGCAGCATAAGGACTGTAGTCTGTAGCTCTGACAGCAGAACCTCGGTCACCTGGGTGCATACGAGTTGGCCATGGATACACTACTCCTCAATAGACTTATTGTCCTACTCTGGCTGATAATCAGCAATATCATCGTACAGACGGGAAACTGACATACATCATAACCATTGAAGCATGTTGGAAAACAATTTGTTGTTATTCAAATGCTGTAATATTAACCATAAGGTGTAATTACTTTTCATATGTTCATTTTAGTGGTTCTCAATGCTGATCGGTCAGTTAAGGTGGTATGACAAATGCGAAGTAATGTCATCCATTTTTTATGACCAGTTGATCAGAAGAATAGGCTGACTTCAGTATATGCTAGGGGGTAAAAATGACCAAACAAAAGAAATCTTCTGTCTATCCATCCTTCCATCTGTCCGTCTGTCTGTTATTATTTTTTTTCCAGAAAGTAACTCGAAAACGGTTCAGTATCTTTCATCAAAACATGGTAGATATATCAATCAGGTCCTGAAGTGGTGGTTATTGTTTTTTGCAGTTTTTTTTTTCTTAATTTTCATGGAAACAATTTGGACTTAGTCTGACAAGGTAGGGGTAGTTTCGAGAGCAAAACTTGAAAACTGTGAAAGACTTTTCACCCAAACCCTGTACATTTATTAACCAAGGGCTAAAGTGGTGCCTTTTGCTACTTAGGAATTTTTCAAAATTTCCCTGTTTCCATGGAAACAAGTTAGACTTAGCTGAAATGGTGGTAGGTGTTGTTTCCGGATCAAAACTAAAACACTGTTCAGCATTTTTCATCCAAACATGATACATGTTTGATGCAAGGGCTGAAGTGGTGCCATTTGCTATTTAGGAATTATGTGTTTTTTTGGTTTTTTTCCTGTTTCCATGGCAACAAGTTTGACTTTTACTCTGTTCATAGTCATGTGTTTGTCCCGGACCATATCTTTAAAACTGATAGGTATTCTTTGATGACACTTTGCACACTCAAAGACCAGGTTGTCAAATGGTGCCTTTTGCTACTTAGGGATGTTTAGAATTTATATTTCTTTCTGTTTCCATGGCAACATGTTTGATTTTGACTCTGTTCATAGTGGTGTGTTCCTTACATAGAAATACAAAGTTCTGAATCCCAATTCCATGGTATTGTGTTTATAGCTCAATAACAACTCTTGTATACAGACAGACAGATTAGATAGAAATTCTATCATTTAGTTGAACTTAAACAGTCAGATGATTTGTTCTTTCAAAATGTGGGGACTGGGGGATTTGTCATCTTCTGATGACTCTTAGTTCATTTTGTTACATAACATGATCATTGGAAATATATAGAATAACCTACTTGAAACACCGACCTATGGGTTATCTATCACGTGTCAAAACGGTGGACGTTTCTCGACAATTTAATCTGGGCTCAGGACGTCCATCACTCATTCTCTTGCGACAGATCCGTAATTCCTCCGTGCTCATTGGCTACTTCTGAATTGTTCTAAAATCATAGTTATAAGCTTCTGGTTTTGTGAGTGAGCATAGATGATTATATGGAGAACATCAAATGAGGAGGAATTATAGGTTATCAGTGTCACAAGTGAATAAGTGATGGAAGTCCCGAGAGCCTTGGTATCGTTTATTCATCAGGGGCCAATTCCCAGTTTCATGTAAGCAACTCTATACTTACACTATTCTCTTTTTAATGGAATGCCAACCTTACAAAGACAACTTACTTTTTTTGTAACTAACCTTATCCTGTTGTTCTGATGAGGTATCATTCTCTGTTTGTGATAGTTTGAACAGTATGACATCATCTTAAGGTAACTGAGAAACACGAAAAGATGCATGCATTCATCATAAAGTTATTCCATTGTACACTGTTTGAAACTGAGGGTGTGTCAGGGAGTCTTGAGTTGTGCATGCTTCTATGATAATGGATTTTATTTTAGGTGTTGTAATTAGTTTGGTAAATTTATGAGAAAGATGGAGAAAACCTAACTTTGAAGAAGGAAAATAACTTTTGACCAAAAATAGTTTGGGCTGACTGTTTTGCAATGAGGTGAAATGACATTTTGTTACCACTTTTCGTAAGAAATGGTGAACAGTATGTATAAGAAATTGTTATTTACCCAATTATCTTTCGGCATCTTGCCATGTTAAAACTTGTTTGTTTTTCATTCATTAGCATCTTTAGTTCGGCAAGGGTGGAAACTGGACTTTTATAGTCAGTTAACTCTCTTGCCTCGGGAAGATGTTCATTAGTAGCAGTACCAATCTCTTATTAAATTTTTTAATTATTTTTTTTTGAACACCTACTTTGAATTTAGTCCCCAAAACAACTAATCAAAAATAGGAGGCCTTTGATCTTTAACTATTAATATGGGGTCATGATGAGGACTTGTTGACTTTCATGCTTATTGTTGAACACTGCTGATCTTTCATGTTTCAGCCCTTATGTGTATATGATAGACTATATCCCAGGAAACAGTCCAGTATCTATGTTATTTGTGCGTGGTTTATTCCTCTGATTAGGCTTAGAACTGATACTCTCACATAACCTCTTGACACGTCCATCATCTTACTGTTTGATCTGTGCAACACTCTAGTTGTAATAAAATCATTGCATGTTGGAAACTGAAAAAAACATCAGCAGTTTTTTCTCAGATCACAGGAAGATTTCCTGCGTTGCAGCTTTGACTGTCTACGCTGGGTCTACTTTTGCTGGCTTTTTTTTGTTGATCATTGCCAACCACATTTAGATGCAATCAGTTACAGAAACAAAAACACCAATAAACGTATTGGATGCATCATCCAAGTGTTTTTGCATTGGAGGTATGGTTCTTGTCCCCCCTCAATTGAATTTCATATTTTTTCATCCAAGTTCCTGCAGTTTTGTCATTCTCTGCTTCCCCTACTATAAGATGTAGATGGAGTAATACATCACTGTGTTAGTGAGGCATTGAATGCTCCATACAGCTGCCCGTGAAGCCAAGTGACATTAACGGTGTGTGTGTGACAATGCTGATGGTGATTAAGGACTGTCAGCTGCACTGCTACGCGCTGATAATGGCCCCATGAGGGTGGCAGCAACAGGCAATCTCAGCCTCGGGGTCACTCTGACATGGTCACTGCACTACTCTGTGTGTGTGTGTGTGTGTGTGTGTGTGTGTGTGTGTGTGTGTGTGTGTGTGTGTGTGTGTGTGTGTGTGTGTGTGTGTGTGTGTGTGTGTCTGTGTTTTTGTGTCTCTGTGTGGCCATCTGTGTCTGTTTGTGTGTCTGTGTCTGTTTGTGTGTCTGTGTCTGTGTCCGTGTGTGTGTCCGTGTGTGTGTTGACCGCCTCCGTGGTCTAGTGGTAGAGTGTCCGCCCAGAGAGCAGAAGGTCCGGGGTTTGATCCCCGGCCACGTCATACCAAAAGACATTAAAAGATGGTACTTGTTGTTATCCAGGCTGGTGCTCGGAATTAACGGGCTAAAACAAAGACTGGTCGGCTCTTGAGTCAGTATACTGTGTCTGAGTGGGGTATTCATGTTAAACTGCGGCATGGTATCTCAGTGTGCTAGCACTATAAATCGGCATCAGTCCGGACTAGTACAAGCAGCAACACGCATGTCGCTATTTAAGTGCAATAATCTTAAACCCCAGTTCACCTTACCTCACCATTATATGTGTCTTTGTCTCTGTGTGTCCATCTGTGTCTGTGTGTGTGTATGTGTCAGGGTCTCTGTGTCATGTCTGTCTCTGTATGTAACTGTGTCTGTCTGTGTCCATGTGTGTGTGTGTCTGAGTTTTTTCTGTGTGTGTGTGTGTGTGTGTGTGTGTGGTGTGTGTCTGTGTGTATCTGTTTGTCTGAGTTCGTATTGGGGTCTGTTTCTGTGTGTAACTGTGTCTGTCTGTGTCCATGTGTGTGTGTGTCTGAGTTTTTTCTGTGTGTGTGTCTGTGTGTATCTGTGTGTCTGAGGTCGTATTGGTGTGGGTGTGCCTCTCTCGGCCTCTGTCTCAGTACAGTTATTTTATGACTAATTTTATCTCAGCTTTGTAATTTGTAAATAGAAACTGCTGTGTGTTTTGTATTAGTGTAAGCACATCCCAGATTTTAGAGGCAACTGACATGATATGTGTCAGCATAGTGGCAACACCCACATATGTTGATTAATGTCAATGTTGATGACTCCTGGCCTTGTTAGGTCGAATTAGGAGTATTGGAAACTTGTCTGAATTTAAAGCCAGCCAGTCAGACAATATTTGACAGCTACTGGAAAGGTAGATTTTAGAAAACATTTTACCAATCCTGTTCAAATGTAACTAATCTTGGACTGGTAGTCGGTTCAATTTTCCAACACTGAAGGTAATACTGCAGAACATCAATCATCAATCTTTGGTACGACCTTCCCAAATGTTTGGTTTAATTGAATCATGTTTAGTGAACTCAAGATTCCCTCAAAAGAGAACTAAAATTGAGAGTTAGTAGCCACAACTTGTATATAGTTTCCAATGTTTATTGTACATAATACAGACATGAAGTGAACCTTGTCGTAACAACCTTTGGAAAAAATATGATTGTCTAAAACAAAAGGCATGAAGAATTTAAAAAATATATATCAAAAACATTTTGGAGTATGTGTCAGCATTTGTAGCCATTGCTTGTGATAAGGGCTGATGTAACAAAACAGTTTAAAAGCATTAATGTAAATTTCTAGACTACACAAATCTAAACCATTACACTATCAAAACATTTGCTTTGTTTCGTGTATCAGCCTCATTCATACACTGCTAGCTAGGCTCGCAAAGCTCTCTCACGCACAAAGTACAACAATTGAAATTATCGATGGCAATGAATATATGAACAGATTGCACTTTGTATTTCTTGGTTGATGAAAAATGTAAAAAAGTACTTTGATTTTTAATGTCAAATTTTCAATTTTCAATTCACTTTGTATCTCTTCCTTGCCAGTTCTTAACATAAACATCTAACAATTTAACCATGTAGCTATTACACAGGCATATGTGAAAAGGAAGTACTTCTATTTTTTTTATCTTGTGTAATCCAGAAGGTCTGGACAGTGAGAAGTTTTGCCTTACAGCAATTCCTTGTGTGATGGTAGTGAGGTGTATGGGATGGTCTGTTCATGGCTTGACAGTCTGACCCATGCTGCTGCATCATCAACAACAGCAGCAGCATAGGGCCAGGAGCGTCAGACGGAACTGTTTATTGTAACAGAAGTAAAGGATAAGATGGAGGGCATAGTGGAGAAAGAAGCTGACACTGAACAGGTTGTACAGACTCGCAAACATACGACTGTCCGAACTAATCCAGCCCGGCAGGGCATACGCTAGCAGGTCCAGCAGACAGAATGGTGTGGTGAATATCACATACACACTGATTATCAGAATTAAAAGTTTCGACAAGGCTATTTCCTCCTTAATCTTACGGTTTAGAGTTAGTCCGCTGGAGTGTTTGACAGACATGTAGCGCCGTGTCATGGTGGAACGTCTGGTCCTACAACTGAGGGTTATGGAGATTGAAAGCATCATGAAATAAGGGAGAAATAGCGTTATAGTTTTAACATACCAGAAATACATTGTGTTGTACTCTGGCGTGGTTGTTGACTCCGTCTTTTCTGAAATGAGAACTGTGACATTACGTGAGGAATCAAAAACACCTGTAGCTGCGTATTCCCAGAATCTTGGTAAGGCGCTTACAAGACCTACACAAAACACCATCACAACCACAACACCTGCTTGAGCAGAAGTACACAGGGTGCTAGAGCGGGTTGCGGACACGGTGAGTGCCCGCTCAAAGCTCATCATCACAATAAGCCATATAGTAGTGTACCAAAACCAGTCCCGGCAGCTTATGGCATAGCCCTGGATGTAGGTAAGCACGGGATGGTAACCTATGTAGTGTTGAAGCACTAACACCACTGTGCAACAGATAAGGAGTATTGTTGCTATAGACAGGCCCAGCAGGTACGTGTCTAGGGACATCCTAATCTGCTTGGACAAGACGATGATGCTGATGATCTCGGTGACGAAGGCGAAGGAGATGATGACAGGCAGTGCCAGGAAGCAGAAATAGTCACTGATCTCCATCCAGTACAGGGTGGTGTTAGCTGGCTGGAGGCCATTTGTACACAATGCATGGGTGGTCAGGCAGTGCTTCAGAGGTGGGATCAGGAACGGAAAATCATTCTTCGGGTACAACACGAAATAGGGCATCTTCATTGTCATATAGCCGCTTCTTTTTTCACATATGACAATTTGAAATATTGTGGTGATCTGTGTTTGATATAATCACTGGTTCAGCATAAAGTTACTTCAAATCTTTTAACAGATGATCACTTCAAACCTTCCAACAGATGAATACAAGTATATATTCCAATTGTATGTCAATAATTAAATTCTAGAGTTAGGAAATGTTATTGGTGAGAATGATCAGTTTTAATGAGAACTGACCTGAATAAGTAGTTATAGAATCCGATCCTGATAAAAGTCAATATCTCAATGTTAGTACTTCCGTGGTGGCAGTGTTACAAATGTGTCCGTCCCGGATCTGTCACACACAAGTAGGTAGGCAGGCTACACTGATAGGACAACACATCAAACTCCCTGTGTAGCACGACACCCTTGTCCCGTTGTAAACTTTCCTCTGTGTTACTCACTGAGTTCCTGAAGGAAGAATGGAAGCAGTGGTCTCTATCTTTCCCAATGGCAATCATACAACGGGAATTTTTCTGAAGAATATTGATTTTCAGGGAATCTGATTTGGATGTAGCTCTCCTTAAGTTGTCACATGTGTGAGTCCAATTGTGTCAATGTGTGTCTTGTTCAGCATCAGTTCAGGAAAACCTGTAGGGCTAATAGATTCCCAGCATCGTCGGTGTATACTGCAAAGAAAATTAAGAGAAATGAATCCAATTTGGCACAGAGTTATGCCCCCGATTTCACTTGCTTCACACAAGCATGAAGATATAAGCTTAAATCAGGTACAAGGAGCACTGCTTCTGCTTTCACTGTGGCGATTTGCTAGTTTTCTGCTTTGGTGGTGCTAATGATAGTGTTATCGGTTCATGAATTAATCATGGCAGAAGAAATGGATAATTTACATGGGGACAAGTCAATCACCTGATAGTTATCTAATGGTGATGGGGAATTCCTAGCCTGAGTGCTTTTACTCTTGTTTTTATTTCCACCAACTACAGCCACATTTACATTTTGATCGAACTTTGGAAAGTGTCAATAGATTAGGTTAACAGGGGCAAAAACGTTAACATATTTGCAATGAGAAGAGTAAATCCTCGGGAGCTGTTCAAACTTTTATGGGCTTTCAAACTTTTTACGAATATTTTAGCCATGGTTATGTGTCAAGTCACATATGACTGAGCCCAACTTTGATCTGCTGTGATTTTCAGTTTGGTTTCTCATCTTGACCCATGATTCAACAATGCGGAGCAGAGAGTGAAGCATGCTACAAAAACATGTCCCTTTTTAGATAGAAATATCATCATGTTGACAAGAACACGTTTTGAAAACCAGGCTAAAACTATTCCTAATGTCTGTGTTGACTGATTGTAGGATTGAGAATGACATGCACGGACAATATTATTTGAAAACATTGTTTCAAAAAGTGGTCTCTTGAGTCCCAGTGGTGATGCTTTATAAACTCTGTCTATATCGATTGTTACAAAACCTATTTCATCAAAATCTAAACTGTCGGGTTGAGAAACATTTGGCAAGGGCAAAATGATCTGTGGATTGCGGATGATAAATGTGATGATTGCAAGTGTTTTTCTACCATTCCAATAACTTTCATTCTGTCACGGGCAAGTTGTCAAACAGGTCCCTTCCTCCTGCAGTGTGTACTCTACTCCTCATTTTAATGGCTGGGGCTGTCATGTTAGGGGAAGAATGGGTTTTCCTAACTTGGAGCAAATGGCTTTTCACCAGTGAAAAAATTCTTCGGGGTTCTGATATACTGCAATCCCATGAGACAGAAGATACAGCACACAACATCATACCACTCTCAGCTAGCTAGCAATGTCTTATATAATGTTGTGTAATTTCTCCCGCTTGTTCATCTTTGAATTTGAAAATTGACTGGTACCGTATTCTACCTTGAAAATAGTTGGTACTGTATTCTACTTGAAAACAGACTGGTACCATATTCTACTTTGAAAGTAGTTGGTACCGTATTCTACCTTGAAAATAGACTGGAACCGTATTCTACTTTGAAAGTAGTTGGTACCGTATTCTACTTTGAAAATAGACTTGTACAGTATTCGACATTGAAAATAGACTGGAACAGTATTCTACTTTGAAAAAAGACTGGTACAGTATTCTACTTTGAAATTAAACTGGTACTGTATTCAATTTGAAATTAGACTGGTATGTTTGAGTAAGAACAATCAAGAACTGCTTTCTAAGAATAAATATTGCTAAGAATAATTAATTAGGAACAAAGTTCTATTTTTGGAGGAATAAAAGTTGTATCACAACTCTGAAACATAACCTTGATCAGTGTTAGAAATTGGCACTAGTCCTGTAGTCCTTGCCAAACTGCTTAATAGTTAAGGTATCATAAGGACTAGTAGAAGTTTGACCTTTTTAAGGGGTTTGCTATATGTTATCATTATAAGGACTAGTGGACTAAAACTGTTAGTTTCTATCGCTGTTGATGCAATATTGATGCAAACACGAGCACACCGATGTGCACATAATCCATCACAAATTGTTTCAATGTTGTATAACAAAAGTAGTATTTCAAGTTTTAGTTTTAATATCATGATTACATTATTTTTGTAAACATGTTAGCTTCTGCATAATTATCAACTTGTTGCTTTTGTAACATTATTTTATGCTTATACTGAACTTCAATGCATGTATTCATGGATTAATATCAGTATTTGCGTAAACCATTGTGGAGGTTGACAGTGCAGCCACTAGTTTCCCAATCTACAATCAACTTTGCCCCTGATCCTACACTTCATCTCGGTGATGCCCTCTTAGTGCCTTCTGACTTACTGAGGTTGAATCCCCGGTACGTTATTAAGGCAATTACATTTGGGAGTGTCATTAGTTGGAATGTTTAGTCTCAATATATTGACTAAAAAGTATCACAAAATTTCAATATATCAATTACTAACAAAATTAGTTATTTTGTATGCATAGATTAAAATTTCTTATTTCGAACTACAAGTAATCAACCTAGTGCTAAATATGAACGAGGTGGATCTATTAAATATCATAATTGAATTTTCCTGCCTTCTTTCTGTCCATCTCAGCCATGGTAATGTCAACAAATGTAAACATGTCTGTGGTTGTGAATTATTAATTTAGTTTTGATATTCATAAATTTGAATTTGGTACAAATTTGACATTAAAAATTTATCGACACATCAAAATCGCAATATTTGATGGCATCCTTATCATTTTGGTCATACCTCAAATTAAGAATTGTGTCATTGAAAAAGTAGCAGATATCACATGAAGTGACACGTTAGGTACAGTTTCAAAATGTGTATTTTGCGTGTTACTGGTTTTTTGGTCTGAATGTGATAATTGAATATGTGGTAACACTGGGAGATATTCGTATGAGTGGGTGACCTCATTCTCCGCTGTGTCTGGCTGGGCCGCAACAACTATTGACAGACAGATTACAAGAGGATTCTCCTTTTTCATCAATGGTCTGATCAGATCCCTTGAAGTTACATAATTGTATTGGGAAGACCCTTTATCCTTTAATATGATGTAATTGTATTTCCGCTATCAGATGGCTTGCAGTAAGCCCGTTGTTGTGAGACTTTGTCACTTGGTAAGCTGCACCGGCATGTAGATGCTCCCGAGACAGGGAACCATTGATAATACTGTTATCTTTTGGGAAGCACCAATCTTACTACATCTCAAAGGATTCAATGAATCTGTCAGGGCCAACCAATCAGAATTACACAGCAATTTCTTCATCTGATGTTGGAAGAAACATTTTGAAGGTGATAAAGAACGAAAGTCGTCGGACTAATGGCAGCTAATTCAGGGGAAGATCTCATTACAAGATGATGTGCAGATAACCACCAATCAGATGGCAAATAGCCACTTGAAATGACCATGGTCGCCCTTTGGTGTTGCAAGAATGTTCAGATGTCCTTTCAGTTTGGGTTGGATTGCTTGCTATAAATATACACTGTGTCTGAAGGTGCTGGTGCAGGAACTGGTGTCCTGTGTTGGAATTGGTGTAACGATTTATTGTCATTCCATCATTTTTACTACATATTCCCTAGTCAATAAATGTGTTGTATAAATTTATTATAACTTGTGACGGGTAAACTACGTAATGGGGTGATATTGATCATATACTAATGGGTTATGGAGTGTTTATATTGATTGTAAAGTTGAAAGACTTTCAAGAATATTGATCAGTTTTATATGTGACACCTATTATCATAACGGAGTGAGGAGGTGTTTGCTGCTGTTGCATCTTGTCTGTTATTTGTAGAGATTACTGTGTGGCATCGAGTGCAGTTCAACATAAGTTAATAATGGAATGCACTTGAGATGCGGATGAAAGCTTTCAGCGTCAGCATGGCTGAGACATATCAGTAGTTTGGATGAAGTGGTCAGATGTTACAGCGGTATAATAATTGAAGTTTGTGTTGATTTTATTCATCTGTCATTTAATTGGTAAAATTATGGACAGTTTAAATTATTTTTATATGTGTAGATATTTGTTGTTTTAGCTATATAGCGTTTGTAGTTGATGTTGAATCTTGTATTATTTGATGCATATGTAAATAATGAAGTTTAGAATGTGTATAGCCAGTTCTTGATGCTATTAAAGCCACAATCACCTCAGTGTTAGCCCAACTGTACACATAACACAGAGAAGTTGGCTCTTGTATGCAGGGACATAGAAAATCAAAAAGGCATATTACCATAGTGTTTAGGCAAAAATAAAACAACTTGTCCTGTACACCAAATAAATGAGAAGTGATTGGTCTAAACTAAGTCAGGGATGAAACAGAAAGAAGATAAGGATTTCTAAATTTTGATGTTACGTCCTGATTCATTGTCGATGGTTTATGAATCAACTTTGAAAAGTGTATGTTCTTATAATAAAATATTTGAATATGCATATATGTATGCACATAAGAGTCAATTTGCGGCATCCAGTTGAAATGGCCAAGCACTGAGAAAATAATGACATTGCTATAAATGCTTGGTTATCTCATTATCATTGTCATTGTAATCAGATCTTAGTTCTACTGTAATACAAAGACCTGAGGACATCCCACTACAGGTCACATGAGACTGACCTTTCGCAACCTTTGACCGACCGTTGAAATTACTAACAGGAAGTCAACATTAGCCTATCAGAAACCAGCCTTATCGAGCTTTACCGCACTAATTCAAAATGGTCACTTCTGTGACAGTGTTCTCAGTTTATAATTTGAAAACTGAACAAAAGAAAATTATGAAAAGTCAAATAGAGGGCCAAGACTGTATGGTAGTACTTCCAAAGGGCTATGGAAAGTCTCTTCCATTTCAAATGTTTATCCCATTGAAGTGAGAGATAGATTATGATTTGATTTGGAATACCTTGTGATAATCTTTTTTAGGTTGCCCGTTCAGAAAACACCTTTGGGCATTCACTTTTATGGCTTTGTAAGCGATGCTCTGATTGGTCAGATGGAAGGTCGTTCTGACATGATCTGAAACGTCTTTGTGTAGCAGTAGCAACCATTAAGATCTGATTTGAAAGAGATTGCTAATAACAATCAACAAGAATAGTGAGAAACTCAGTGTATAAGTCGGATTATTGGCGTTGGACAGAATCGAGGATCATATATCTGTCTGTCTGTTTCATCTTAGGGCTTTTGAGTGGTTGGCATGATCT